GACGAGCCGAGCACGAGCAAAGCGAAACCGATCCGTTCTGCTCGCGGTGTCAAGTATGGGCGAATAACGAGCAATCACTATCCTGGAACATAGTTGTACTTGGTGTGCTCGCGGGTTAACCCCTTTGTGTTCGCTATCGCCTAACGCTCAAAGCCCGCTCGTTCGTCGCTCGTAGGTTCACGCTATACAAATTTTGGCTCGGTTCGTGAAGAAAAGAAGAAGAGCGGGGTTTCTAGCGTAGACACGCCTTTAGAGTTTAGTCATCATAACTAATATGTCATTTTAACCATTGCATATAAATTTACCGCTTACTAGTGGAAGCCTATTGGTCGATATTCAACCATAATACACAATCGAAGATTTTTTTATTAAAAATAGTTTGATGTTCACTATATCAAAGTCATCCGTTGGCACTTTTTAATACAATATTTTTAGCAGATTTTTTTGTAAATTTACTAATATTTCTTTTACCATTCCAACTAAGCTAAGGCTTGTCCTAGGATATGGTTTACGACAATAGTCGAATGGCGGGTTGCAAAACCCCGACCTCGTGATCGGAAATCTGTACCCTTAACCATTAGGGTATTGACGCTTCGGTTATTTATTTGTTCAATAATGTAAAATGTTTTATATTATAATTATATATCCATAAATTCTCCATCTCAGATGTCAAGAAAAGAAATTTCACATTTACTTGATTTCACTGAAACTTTTACATCGTGAACGGGGGAAATAATAAGCCATTTCTTTGCAAAGAACTCGAACGATGAAATGAAGTTAGGGGACATTTATGTTAATAGCAAGAAACTTGCGAACTCTGAAAAATAAATGCCTTTTTATTGTTATTGTAAAGGCAGTTACAGTATGATATAAAAATCTTGATTTTAAATTAATAATTTTTTTATGAATTTTTTATTTGAAAATGAATTCCTCAATAGTACAACAAAAGTACGTGTTCTATTTATTGCTAATCAAACTTTGCTAGGAGATGACACTAAAATAAAAAATTGTGAGTTGACATATTATATTATATATAAACAAGCTGTCGCCCGTGGGTCCGTTCGCGTAGAATAAAAAAAAGTTAATTAGTAGCTGATATATTCTTTCATCATATGTTCATTCTCTAACAGTGGTAGAGCCCGCTTTAACATCTTCGCACGAACCGGCCCGGCTCGCCCGGTGAAATACCACGACCACACAGAAGACAGGCGTCAAGTGGAAGCAATTCTGTGTACAGTCTGATGAGTGTGCGTCCCGGAGGCCAAAATAAGTCCTCTTTCCCTTCCCACCCTTTTTCTTATAAGGAAAGGATGGGAAGTGGAAGTGGACTTTCCGGATGAGAGGATGCACGGAAAGGGAAAACATTTTCTTTCTGTGCATCCTCTCCTCCGTCGATTAAAGGTAGGCAACGCATATTCAATTGCGAATGTCTATGGGCAACGGTCACTTCGCTATTTCAGCGATTTCAGGTGGCCGCTCGCTCGTTTGCCACCTTCTGATAAATAATAAAAAATGAAACTCTTAAAAATATTTTCACTAAAACTTTTTCAATATCCTACGTACCTTTATATGCCTTTTATTTAACCAATCAATGAAACATTTTTACTAGCAACGTTACTATTCGTAAAACCTACAAAACCTTTTTAAATCTGACGTGTAAATATAGAAAATCTTTTCTGTGAACAAAAATCACTAGCGTTTGAGTTTCACGCGAAAAATTTGAATGTTATTTTCTTTATGTAATCCTTTAATATAAGAGTAATGTTGACAATATTTTTGCTAATTATAAAAAATATATATAATTACTAAACTTTGTTTTATACTTCGTCATTTGTAAACTTGAAAATAAACAAAACTGTCTTAGCATGAAGGAAATTGAAAAGACGTTCCGGATAGAACTAGTTAAATCCGGTTTAAACAAGATTCAACCAGTTGCTGGCGCACCGAGTAGTAAGCTGTGGATTATAAGACTTATGTTCGTGTGCTTTAAAAGAATTACACGATTTAAATCTCCTGGATTTTATTTAATGTACCACATTGACATAACTAGATACCTTAATCTTATTTATATTATAAATGCGAATGTTTAGATGGATGGATGGATGTTTGAAGGTATCTCCGGAACGGTTGAACGGATTTTGATTAAATTTAGCACACATATAGAACATAGTCTGGAAGAACACATAAGCTACTAATTATGTATTTTTTAATTCCGCGCAGACGGAGTTACGGGCGACAGCTAGTATATAAATGCGAAAATTTATATGGATGGAAGGATGGATGTTTGTTAGAAGGTATCTCCGTAAAGGCTCAATAGATCTTGATGAAATTTGGCACACACATAGAACATAGTCTGGAAGAACACATAGTTTACTAATTATGTTTTTTTTTATTCCACGCGGATGGACTCGCGGCCGCAGCTAATTTGTTTATAAATAAATATTAGTTTTCTTACACGTAAAGAATATATTGACTGAAATAGCATTTGAGAAATATATTTTTATGAATTAAGGACCCAGTGAAAATTAATGTGTTTTAGTCTTTGATTTCAAAGCGCAAACGAAAATGAATAAAATTCACAGGTATACTTTACGTTTTCAGAACTGCATAATACATTTTTAATAAAAATTTATTTCAAAGAAATAGGTTTATTAACAAAGTTAAGCATTTCTTTTGATTCGTCAAAAAGGAAATCGAAAGAAAATACGATCTTGAAAACACTGAAGTGATACAAAGTGTACGTCACCGAACAATCTTGAATGCAGCCTCTTTGTAATTTGTCCAGGAAAATTGTAAGATTACGAAAAAACATTTGTATGACTTTAGAATAAGTAACCCACACTAAGGGCATTCCTATGTGACCAATTAACAACTCAGTGTGTGGGAGATAGTGTCGAAAAATATATTACTTAATAAATGAATGTGATAAGGAAATGGAATTTTTATAATCGACCTTTTTTTTCAAAGGGGAATGCTTTATGCATACTCCGCGCCCCGGGGGGGGCCCTCTATAATCGACCTAGGCAAATTGCAAATGAGCGGTATTCCCTATCGTTCGGGTACATAGTGTAGTGAGTGAAAACAAGATAGCATTGGCTTTAGAATCAATATATTTTTCGAGACGTGGAAAGAAATATTGCTAATGAGGGAAACAGGCGCCCGGCTTTAAGTCTGCGAATGTCATTTGTAAAATAAATGCAACATTTCTTCAGTGTTGCTATTCAAATGATATAATTTTTATTTCTCGGAATACTATTTCTTTAAATAGAACTTATAGAAATTATTAAAAATAGCGATGTCGATTTGAATGCAGTCATATTATTAATAACCTAAGTATTTTAATTACAAGAAAACGCATCTTAACACTTTCTGGATATATCTTTTTATTTGGCACAGATTACTAATATAAATGCGAAAGTCATGAAGGATGTTTGTTTGAAGGTATCTCCAGAACGGCTGAACGGATCGCGATGAAATTTGTCATACATATAGAACATACGTGGTTGACTATGGCCTAATCACCCTTAACTTAGGGTAGGCTCCGAAGCCCTTCCGTGGGGACGTATAGTGAGCTGATGATGATGATGATGATAGAACATAGTCTGGCAGAACATATAGGCTATTATAATAAACAATCTTAATTGGGCAAAGAAAAAACATTATCACAAAATCTTGTGGGCTCTATCTCCGGAACTAGTTAGATGAAATTGTGTTGTAGGAGACAGCGCCTTCTATTATCTATTGCCTATAGTTATAGATAGCATAAGTCTATTTGTTCCTTTTAAGACCAAGTAAGGAGTCGAGGGCGACAGCTATTATGGAATACAGTCTGGAAGAAAACATAGGTTACTTATTTTTTAATTCTATGCGAACGTAGTCGCGGGATATAGGTAGTATTGCTCATTTCTTATTAATTACCCGTTAAGTAGATAAACAATATCTTATTTCCCTTATGCTTGTCACAACTATGATAGGCAAATAATCACAATTAATTTGTTCGTAATCAAAATGTTTTAAGTTTAAAGTCCAAAGAAGATAATTTAAATTAAGCAACTCATTGAGTGTCTTCTTTTCCTATCTCGAATATTTTATATTAATTTAAATACGATGATAACTTGCAATTTCAAAACAAAATCGTCTAATCGGATGACTTTGATGTTTTAGTTTTATAATTTAGTAGACTTTTGCCCGTGACTTTGTCTTTATAGAATTAAAAAAAAAAAAAATTTTATATCATAAGGTGGCAAACGAGCGAGCGGCCACCTGTGATCGCTGAAATAGCGAATGACCGTTGCCTATAGACATACGCAATTGCATATTTATATATATCTCATATATTAGTAGTTTTATATTGCATGTGAATCAAACGTACACAGGAACCCGTTCACATATCTGTGATCATAGTCTATATGTTTTCCTAGATTTTGTTCTACATCTATACTAATTTTCATAGCGTTCCGCCGTTCTGGAGATACCTAATAACAAACATTAATCAATCCATCCAAAAGTTCCGTATTTATAATATACTAGCTGTCGCCCGTGACTTCGTTCGGATTAGAAAATAAAATAAAATTAGTAGCCTATATGTTCTTCCAGACTATGTTCTATATGTTAGCCAAATTTTATCGAGATCCCTCACTTGATGTAACAAACATACATCCGAACTTCCGCATTTATATTAGTAAGATAAACCAGCGCGTAACCGTGACCTTATTTTATATTAACTGCCAAATAACTTACCATTCTAGTGATTGTACCACGCTCCGGATTACTCTAAAGAGATAATTTATCTACGTTAAACATTACTACTAAAGAATGACGATTTAAAAAAATCATTGCTTTAAATTTACATAATGTTATGACTTGCTGTCTGATATTTTTTGTCTATTCGTGATTATGTCGATTAATAATAACCAGTCATGATTACTAGAGTCATGATGAACAAGCATGATAAGCGATATTATTTGTATATATATTGTTGGTACGCTATCTACAACATAGTGATCTCGTGTTGTGACAGTAAACATGTTGTACATTTTAACTCTTGTTACGGTCTTAGTGGGACTTCTACATTACTATTTTACCAGGACATTTGATTATTGGAAGAATAGAAATGTCGCCGGACCAAAACCAGTACCGTTCTTTGGCAACTTAAAAGAATCCGTCCTCCGAAGAAAGCCTCAAGTGATGGTCTACAAAAGTATTTACGACGAATTTCCAAATGAAAAGGTTGTTGGTATTTACAGAATGACAACACCATCTATTTTGTTACGTGATTTGGATATTATTAAGAATGTACTCATCAAAGATTTTGAATCATTTGCTGATAGAGGAGTCGAATTTAGTATTGATGGTCTCGGCGCGAACATATTCCATGCAGATGGCGACAGGTGGAGAACTTTAAGGAACAGATTCACGCCGCTCTTCACTTCCGGAAAGCTCAAGAACATGTTACCTTTGATGTCGCAATCTGGAGACAGACTTCTTAAATACATCGATGATGTAACCCGGACACAACCGGAACAGTCTATTCATACTTTGGTTCAGAAATTCACTATGACTAATATCGCAGCTTGTGTATTCGGTCTTAATTTAGATGAAGATATGTTAAAAACTTTAGAAGACCTAGATAAATATATATTCACAGTAAATTACAGTGCTGAACTCGATATGATGTATCCAGGAATATTGAAGAAATTAAACGGTTCACTCTTCCCGAAGGTTGTTAGTAAATTTTTTGACAATCTCACAAAAAAAGTACTAGAATTAAGAAAGGGAATGCCATCAAATCAAAAGGACATGATCGATTTAATCCAGGAATTAAGAGAAAAGAAAACACTCGAGGGATTAAAGAAATTCGACAACCAAGATGTAAAATCACTCGAACTGACAGACGGAGTTATCTCGGCACAGATTTTCATATTCTACATGGCGGGGTACGAGACCAGTGCCACCACAATGACATACCTATTTTACGAACTAGCAAAGAATCCGGATATCCAAGATAAACTAATTGCTGAAATAGACGAAGTTCTTTCCCGTCATAATGGAAATATAACCTTTGAATGTTTGAGCGAGATGACATATTTGAGTAAAGTATTCGATGAGACATTAAGAAAATATCCAGTTGCAGACTTCACGCAGCGTAACGCTAAAACTGACTACGTATTCCCCGGCACGGATATCACTATTAAGAAAGGACAAACGATTATCGTATCAACTTGGGGTATTCAGAATGATCCTAAATACTATCCTAATCCAGAAAAATTCGACCCTGAACGCTTCAGTCCGGAAAACATTAAGAACAGACATCCCTGCGCTTATTTACCATTTAGCGCCGGTCCTAGAAACTGTTTAGGTATGTACATCTTTGAATAGCTCCCCATTTATCTATAAAAAACCTATTATCCATTTGCTCCATTTAAATTGTTATTTTTATAACAAACAAGCAAGCGTTATTAAGCGTTAAGCGCGCAGTTAAGTTAAGTCAACAAAATGGGTTCCTTCCTATGCGTCTCCTATTAATTTCATATTCAGAATGCATATTTTGATGTTTACTATAACATGAAGTGGACAGGAAAAGTATTTATATGTATAATTTTAAATATGGAAGTTTATAATTATTATTTTTATGGTTTGCAGGTATGCGATTCGCGAAGTGGCAGTCTGAAGTTTGCATCGCGAAGGTTTTGTCACAATACCGCGTGGAAATGTCAAAGAAGACCTCTGATCAATTTATATTTGATCCTATGCGTCTCTTTGCCCTCCCCAAGGGAGGAATTTATGTGAAATTGGTGCGCAGATAAATTTAATGTATTATGCATAACAGTTCCCTACAAATATAATAAATTATTTAATTTTAAATAAATTCATTTTAACATTTGATTGATCAAAGATTATTTTTTATTTTGATTGCCTCTGTTAAATTTAAGGTTATTCTCTTCTTCTTCTCAGTATATACTGATAGACAGGGATAGCTATATTTTATTCTTCGGGTATTTAGTTAGTGATAATTTAAGGTTATGGCAACATAACACAATCTATAGAGGTCAAAAAATAGTAATCTTTGTAAGTAATATTGATATAAAATATTCCTATTTCGTACAAACTATTTCTGTATTTTTTATGGAATGTATGGATTAAAATGTTCAAAAAGGTTTTATTGACACTATTGCAAAAACCACAGTAATTTTAAAATCTAATTATTAAAGAGCGCGCTTCAATAAATTTTCTTTTTGCTGCAAAAAGCTCGCGCCCTTTTTACATTTAATTCCTTAATTAACCTCCGCATCCGTACGAAATAAGGCTGTGAACAAACTGGTAGAATTATTTACCACAATATATATAATTTTTTTCACACATTTACACTTGTTTTTCTGACAAAATTAAATTAAATTTAACAGTGGTAGAGCCCGCTTTAACATCTTCGCACGAATTGGCCCGGCTCGCCCGGTGAAATACCATGACCACACAGAAGACAGGCGTCAAGTGGAAGAAATTCCACGTAGATGAGTGTGCATTCCGGAGGCCTAATTTAGTCCTCTTTCCCATCCCACCCTTTTTCTTATAAGGAAAGGATGGGAAGTGGAAGTGGACTTTCCGGATGAGAGGATACATGGAAAGGGAAGATATTTTCTTTATGTGCATCCTCTCCTCCGTCGATTAAAGGTAGGCAACGCATATGCAATTGCGTATGTATATGGGCAACACTTCGCTATTTCAGCGATTTCAGGTGGAACGCTCGTTTGCCACCTTATGATATAAAAACAAAATTCCTTTGCATATCCCTATCGATATTTTTCCGATAAAACGTTGAAGTTAAACAAATTTTCATACAATGAAGAGGCGGGTCATATGTAACATACTAACAGTTTTCTGTTACATAAGTTCATTTCAAAATATTATTGAGTACGTAACAAGTTTATACATGATTCTATTAAAATCTGATTCATTATTAGACTTACGTTGCAGTATTATTGTGCAATATGATTCTATGTTGTTTCAATACTCAAAAAAATGTAAAGAATCTTATTAATTAAGTATACGAAAAACACGGTAAATAATAAGTCTTTTAAATGAAGTAATAACTTTAAATGGAAGGATAGCTGACGAATACCACGCCGAGTTATTTCGTGTCGGGTTCTTCCAAAAATTCCGTCCGCAAAATCCCTCGGTTTCAACTCACGCCTTAATCCGTAGAGTAATAACAACATGTAATATAACAATACGAAAGCGTTGTTGTACTGTGAAAAACGTACATTTCAACACTACCAACCCTCCGTCATAATCAATCACACGGTACGATTGTTCCCACGCCATTGTTTTTTTTTTTTATTTTCCCCAACAACGCGTGCATTTCGTACAAAAGATAGTTCAGATGAGATATAAATTATTTAACGGACTTTTGGACACGTTGCGAGGAAAATATATTTTTCATAGAGTTATTTTATTATTTTGTTGGGAAATTTACAAATCTATATATATAAAAGAAAGTCGTTTTAGTTACACTATTTATAACTCAAGAACGGCTTTACCGATATGGCTGAAAATTGGTGAGGAGGTAGCTTAGAGCCAGGAGACGGACATAGGATACTATTTATTCTTTTTTTTTTCGAATTTGTGCCTTGAAGAGCTGCTTTTTATTTAACTTCCTAATATTATAAATGCGAATGTTTAGATGGATGTGATGTGAATAGATGGATGGGTGTTTGAAGATATCTCTAGAACGGATGAACGGATCTCGATTAAATTTGCCATACGTATAGAACATAGTCTGAAAGAACACATAGGCTACACTAAGTTTTTTTTTATATATCCACGCGGACAGAGTCGCGGGCGACAGCTATTTGTAGATATATGTATCCAACATAGAATATGAACTCAATGAGAATGCACATTTACCTTAAAAGATTCAATTTTTTTTGTCGCCAAAAAATATAATTGTCGGGTAGTGTTTAAAAAAATTAAGAAAAAAATTAAAATGCAATAATTCTGGATAACAAAATTAACTTTTTATTTTTGTTACACATGTAATACACAGAGCCTTAAGTATATTTTTTGGTATGAAATTAATACAATTGAATAGGTTTGGAAACTGCCTGTGGAAGACTTAAAGCCTTTACGAGTGCTAGTCAACAGAATAGTCTTCAATGATCGGAATCTAGTCTGCCTGCACGACATGTTTTCTCCTGGTAAGACTATACCTAATCTTATTTAGATTAAAGATTACTTATTAAAATATTTGATTTAATTATCCCTTAAATAAAACAACGTCACATCGTTTTCTAATTAATGAAGCTGGCAAGTACTTTTTCAGTTACAAAGTTAAGAAAAAAAAACAAACAGAGAAACAGCGTAATTTAAGTTTCCGGCAGTGGCAACTTTTAAATTAAAAATTCGTTTTGAATTCGGCTTTGTTGTAATTTACGCGAGGGAATCCTTCGGCAACTTAAGGTTATGTAATACGGTAATTTTAGAAAGAACTTCGGACAATACAATGTTTCTATAGCTTTCTGAACTATAGAAATTCTTTTAAGGGTTTTTTTTATTAGGCTTCCTTTCAATTGACTCCAAATCGTTTACGTAATTGAAAACGTTTGTAGGATGTTTTTAATTTAATGGAAAAGAAACTTAATTTCATTACTGTTAAAGTATAAATTTGTTTATCGACGCATTAAAATATTATCATACTAATAGAAGTATTAAAGCACTCAAAACCTAGAATGTAGTAGAGCGAGAGGTGCGTGTCAGGACTGCGCTTACAGATCTCTGGTCTCTGCTTACCCCTCTGAGTTACGGGCTATATTGTTTTAAATACTACTTACTATGTGTCTTCTTAACATACCTGAAACAAGAATTAAATAAATTAGTTAAATAAGTTGAATCATATTTTAAAAGCACAACATATAAATATATGTATTTCTTACTAATATTATAAATGCAAATGTTTGTTACGATGTATATCCAGAATGGCTGCATTGATTTCGCTGAAATTTGGCATACATATAGAACATAGTCTGAAAGAAAACATAGGCTACTTATTAAAAGTGGTAGAACCCGCTTTAACATCTTCGCACGAATCGGCCCGGCTCGCCCGGTGAAATACCTCGACCACACAGAAGACAGGCGTGAAGTGGAAGAAATTCCCCGTTTCGTCAGATGAGTGTGCGTCCCGGAGGCCTAATTTAGTCCTCTTTCCCTTCCCAACCTTTTCTTATAAGGAAAGGATGGGAAGTCGAAGTGAACTTTCCGGATGAGAGGATGCATGGAAAGGGGGAATATTTTCTTTCTGTGCATCCTCTTCTCCGTCGATTAAAGGTAGGCAATGCATATGTAATTGCGTATGTCTATGGGCAACGGTCACTTCGCTATTTCAGGGATTTCAGGTGGCCGCTCGCTTGTTTGCCACCTTATGATATTAAAAAAAAAGTTTTTTAATTCAGCACAACGGTATCTACAATCAATATTGTATAAGATGGGAAGTCATTAAATATGTACAACCACGAAGACAAGTCCATACAAGTTTCCGTTCATATTTCAAATGCAATGAACAAAACTTGTCAGCGCCAGGGAGTCGGAGGAGTTGGTCTGCAGGTGTATCGCAATCTGTATTCATGAGGTTTCGGACGTAAACAAAAATCGTTAGCCAGTACAACTCACGATATTACAAATGTAACTGTTCAAATAGAAATTTTATTCAACTTTGTATGTATGTAAAAAATAAGAAATAAAAGCGGGAAGAAAACAGTGACATCATTTGATATGGTTGAATCGTAGACGTATTTTTTTTTAATTTTTTTTTAAAAGTCTTATGTTATTTTAACGAAATAGTGTTTTTCACAATTATTATAAAAAAAATCTAAAACAATCGATTATTGGCATCATGTAATTTTTATAAAAAAAGTTTCTTTTATGAGAAAATTCCATTTATATAACAATTAAGATATTATCTGTGATATCTCTATTTCATTATACGTTCACCAATATTGTGCACGCTTTACACGAATCAGTAACAAATTTCTAAGTAAATTAATAAGAAAAAAAACCGAAAACATCCGCTAATTGCGCAAAATGCGAGGATAATTTATCAAGAATATTAACTCCGCAAAAATACAACAGAAAAAAAGATCGAAAACGAACAAATGGCGTGATAATTAGTTCTTTGAGAGAAAAGCGCTGGAGAAATCCAAGATGGCCGCCCCTGATAATTCGTAAACAATATCCCTGCGTAGTGTCGTCACCTAAATATGAAATGCGATGTGACAGTAAGCGGGATAGAAAGTGACAAATCTTTGGGGAGACGAAGTAATATTTCTGTATTATTTTTGCTTTAAGATGACGGATGAGACAAATTCTATTATTACCGACTGATAAACCAATTTATTTAACAAATAGCTGTCGCCCGCGACTCTGTCCGCACGGAATTAAAAAAAGACTTAATTAGTAGCCTATGTGTTCTTCCAGACTATGTTCTATAGGTATATCAAATCTCATAGAGATCCTTTCAGCCGTTCTAGTACCATCCATCTAAGCATTCGCCTTTATAATATTAGTAAGAAGTAAGATGAAATGTTAGAGTACGGTGATATTTTTACGTAGTCAAGTTTTACAAATATCAATTTTAATCACAATTTTTGCAAAATATTCCGCAAATAGTGATACAATTTCGTACATTTCGTTTGATGCGCTGGATATCAATGTTAAACAACTTATTTGCATGACCCAATGACTTCAAAGGAAAGTGATACCATGGTAAATAAATCAAGAAACATGCAAGCATCGGTGTTCAAATAGAAAACAAATATAACATGTAGTCGATATTTTAAATACTATTTGAGAATCATTTAAAATCTTTCTTTA